CCCTATTATTAATTCATCTCACTAATCACTACTACTCATTATCACTTCACTCAGTATCACTTAATATCATCCACTATTATTTACTATCACTCGATATCACCCGCCATTACTCACTGGTAGTGCTTTCAATATTGGTTCATTCATGTGATTCTCGCAATTTCAAGGACATCAACGATGGGAAAATCTCCTACAATGTGCATTCTGCTGCCACAGAGACGTTGACAGTGCGTGTTGGGAATCAAACCCTCAAAGCAGAGGTTTGTTATCAGTCGGTGTTGGTCTTTCTGCAGTTCCAACCTTATAATATTCGACGCAGAGCGGCTTAGGGTGGATGGGAGGGGGGTGAACATTTGGCACTTTGTTTTCCTTGAAGTGTTCATTGTTTTACAATAGTTGACAGGTATTCTTCAAAAGAGTAGTCACTTCATGACTCCGTAAAACTTCACAGATCTCTAATTAATGGCTCCACACGTCGAAGCAGGGAAGGGAAGCAGCGGAAGTACACGATATCCCCCCACTTCAGACGAGCTACGCCCAAAATTTTAGTGTTTTTTAACGTCACGCAAACTGGCAGCTTGTCGTGCACGGCAAAGTTCTGCGGGAATCGGGCTAGTACGACCTCCCTCAAATACGCCGCGTGCGGCGAACTGTAGCTTTGTGCGATGTCGCGTCGTGACCCCGCATTCGAAAGAAAAAGCGTGTCATTTGAAACAGCGTCAGACACACTGTCACTACATTTTGAGTTTTCAATGGCCTCTAGCAAACTGATTGGTGCCATCCGTATCGACCTCGCTAGGTGAAACACTTTCAAGGTGGAAAATGAGGGTATAAAATTAAGTTATAAGTCCAGGAAAACAGGCGGGATACAGTAACCGAGAGCACACGGTGCCCTTCGGTATCGCCTAGGCGCTACTAGACTGAAGGTAGAGAGCGGAATTAGAGTCGTCTTCGTTCCCTCGCCTCACTCCGGAGCTTCTTTTACCTCATAGGGTAATATAAGTACCTTACACTTTGATCACTAAGCCGGCCTAACGGTAGGCGTGTGGCACTATACAAAGCACATACAGTCGTCATCCTTGCACTTGATAGGGGCGTGTCGGCGAGAAGGAGCGTGCACACTGTTTGAAGCCTTCTCAGCCTTTTCGTTGAAACGCGTATGCGACAAAAAGTGATAGAAAACGAGTAACACGAAGGATATAATACAGTAATGTCACTTCCTGGTTCAACGATTGGTGCAGTACGGGTGCGGGCGACCGCCGCACGCAGCCGCACTGACATTGACTATCAAGTGCAAGGATGACGACTGTAATTTATTATAGGCGCGAATCTGGAATGTACTGTAATACGCTCTGTTTTCCTGATTAATGATTAACACATCAATCGAATACTCCATGTTTTAGGTACAAATTTTACGTCGCTCACTTGGCGCTTCTCTGGAATTGCGCCGCTCATCCACACTGACGTTACCGGTGGGTGGAGTCGTGTCAATTGACTCTAATCACCTCGAGATAGGCGGATGCGGCAAGTGCTGGCCGATGAGCTCCCTATACAGTACATAGAACAACCAAAGAGGGCCTACTGGTGCTGGAGCGAGGTGAGTAACAATCGCTGGGGTTTTCCTGAAAAAAAACTCAGTGAAAAACAACACATTCGAGATTCTTGTCTATTTGCTGTCGTTATCACTGAAGCAAGTCGGGGGCGTGTAAACGAGACGGCATTTTTGGCGCGGCGCCAGTTCTTCATCGATCGTTGCGGCTTCCGGCATTCAACGGGAGAGACGGGCAAGAAAGCCCTGATTTGCCGCGCCGCTGCGCGCGGTGACGGTGGTGCGCCGTTTGGGCGCGATTACCCTTAGATAAGCTGAAATTCAAAGCAGATGGCAAGAGCTCGACGCGAGTGATTGCGGATCTTATCGGACGCCCATTTGACCCTCAAATCCAAACGGTCTTAGGGAAGAGCTCGAAGCCTACGATGCAAGATCGTGTTTTGTCACAGAATAGCGAGAAAGCTGCCGACGCCGCGTCAAAAATCCTCGCTCCGTACAGCGCTCCACCCCTGAACTGAAACTCCAGTGAGCGAAGACGTCAAGAATTACAGAAATAATGAATGCCTTAGCAGTCTTCAAGTCAACCGTTTGGAAATATTCGGCTCTCCTAATCTTGTTTTTCTAGAGAACTCACATCTAACGTCTTCTCGCATGTTGTGACGACGATTCTCTCAAAATGGATGTGTCGAACGCTGGGAAACGAGTTCAGTTACATTCAGCATGGTAGTGGCTTCCGGTCCGACATCGCGCATCCATTCAACATTTACATCACCAATGCAGAGCACCAAAGGACGCCATATAAACTCTATGTGGAGATTTATGAGGCCATCATGTGAGGTAGTTAGACATATCTCATATTGGCCCCTAGAGACCATAGCATTCCGCCAAAAACGTACAACATCGAGATGGTGAGCGGGTGGTGTCAAACAACCCTTTCCAATTTCTTCCACCGGTTCCCAAACTTCCCTAACTTCTTACTACAAAATTCCGAATTCCAAAAAAATTTTCTCAGTCTGTTTACTCAGAAAGCGGGTCGGTACACGGGCCCTTCTTCGTTTGCAAAGAAAATGGTTGTATTGATGCTGGCGAAAAAAGCCGAGGTAAGGTGACCGGGGAGTTCACGCAAGCTTACCATGAAACTCCGTCCGGTCGAAACCTTATCACTGAGCCACCCACGATTCGATCGACCGTATGCGATCCTCGCTTATGCTTCACAGCTCACAACCAAGCCGCTACCCTACTGCACCATTGTAAACTTTACCTGCTCATAAGTTGCTTGTGAAATGCAGGTTGCAGTTTTGCTATCTATATTTGTAAATAACCTTACAGACTCTATCGATCTACCCAGGTCTCCATTCAAAGTTCCATGGTAAGCTGGTGAACTTCCCTGGTGAGCCGCTGAATTGACGGGAAGAAATCCTCTCCCAGCCCCCACCTCTCTCCTCCCCGCTCTTTCATAGGTAGACGACCTCAGTGGTATAATGGTAGCGCTTTCCCCGGAAGTTGTGAGATCCGGGTTCGAATCCCAGCCGAGGCAGAGACCGTTTTGCACACATCCCAGGTTTTAGCTATTTTGAGCTCTTTAGCTTTTTCTGCTTGCTCACGTCATTGCCTTAGGTATCTCTAACCTCATCGTTGTTAAACGTTGTCGCCGGTGGTTCGACAGTAATCTCAAGTACTGTACTGAATGTGACGTCATCGGATAGAGAAGATTATGTGGTGAATGTGGTGGAAAAGCCGAATTACGGATGGATTGTGCTGGACTCATGGAGCACCAACAACATCACCTCCATAGGTGAGAAATGTCTGGCGTGACGTTTTTTTTCACATTTACAAATTATCGTCACTCAAAAAAAGCCAAAATTCGCGATAACTGCATGGGTGTACAGGGCGGAGACCCATGATCATTGTGGCCTCCTCATTGCTGCGCTCCTCATTCTAACATGGTGAGAGGGAACACGATGATAAGGGAGGTCTGGCTGTTCGTCCATACCTCCGCCCGCCCGATTGATGCTGAGGAGAATGTGTCAATTTCACCTTACGGAATCAATTTTTATGTCCTATAGGCGTTGAAGATTGTGACATGGGTGCAGATCGGCAAGGGGGGGGGCATTTTGCACTTTTGCTACTTCCCGTGGACGTGTCGGCCCATCTAGAGAGCCATATAGTGAGCTCAAACGAGTGCTGGTTTCACCATGGTGGCTCGCCGAGCTTGCTCCAGCTTCACAAGAGTTCACAAGTTCACCAGAGTGAGACTTGTAAACCAGAACTAGTGAAGCTGTGAAAGTGCAAAACGACACGACATATAATACTAGGTGGTACTATATGATATTATGTGATATTATGTGATAGGGTGTGATATGACAAGAGTACGTGATACCAATTACGACGCACTTCAGATTCGTTCAGTGGTGCAGACCTTCGTGAACGTCGTGTGGTGTACGTGTCAGATCGCGATTCGCCCGCTACAAGGGATTCATTCTCAGTTGCGGTGTGCATCTCCCACCACACTTGTACCCAAACACAAATCGTGACGTCACGATCTCACAGCGAAATGTTCAAAGTATGTGCTACGATTTTTGCTCTGGAATCTAGGTACTAATTTACTGTCCTCGGGAGTAGAGGGATGTTGAGTAAGTGGGGAAGTCTGCGGAACCGGTAGTAGTAAGATGAAAAGGATGAGGGTATTAAGAGAGTTTTGAGGAAAAAAGGGGGGGGAGGGGCTTGGATTGTTTTTGAAATTTCGCTGAACATGCCTTGGGCTGAATGTTCAGGGTTGCTCGAGATTTTTGACGCATTTTCTCCCAGTGTCAGTTGTACGGTATTCATTCCAGGTCCTCAAACTTCTGTTAGGAACGAAATTTTCTCGCGTGAACTCTTGAAACAACTCTATTACAAATGCTCACCTTGAACTGCAGGTCACGTATCAAAATTTCGTTTACATTGCAGATTTTTAGATATGTGCATTGTACGCCTGCCTTTTGAAAAGTTCGAGAAACCTTCACAGACAGGTAAGTTCTCACAGTTAGCGCTCCACACCGCTCTCCACTTGTTTTTCATGAGTAGATGGCGAAGCGTGTATGTCACAGGCGATGTTTTGCTGGTAGATAGCGAATCGTTTGCTTTGGGGGGGGTCCACTATCTGAGGGGTGTCGCCGTAGCTCATTTTCGTTCCTATTATCCTCTCTTCTATTTTACATCCTTAGGGCTAAGGCACACAAAAAGCAGAGAGAAGCGGAGACAACAGTTCACGTCTTTATGCTCAACGCCTCCTCGTTTAGTCTGTGACTTGCATGCTCTCGCAGCCAGGACGCCGTCTTTGCCCTCAGATGTGAACGGAAAACAATATTCAAACCCCGTAATCTTGGCATACCCCTACAAATCCTATCCGCAGCCTCATCGTGGCGTGGGGGTGAACGGTTTTGGACTGTTCCAAAAACGTACCAATGCGGAGGGTGCCACGTCAGAGCCTGGCGAGCTACGCGTGGTTAAACTTCTTATCGCCGAAAACAGTAACAACTACTGGGCCTGCATTCCCTGCAACTGAAGGGAACCCGCGAGCAGCGGCCACGTCGGCTGGGACCGCTCGGGCGAGGCTGCTAAAATCACAGGGCCAATGGAGATTCAAGTCGCCCAGGACTAGAATGACGATCTGTACTTTCAACCACGGAGGACTTCGGAAGTCACATGAGTCCTGATATTTCAACGCGGAAGAATCAAGACGACGTCATTCGGTGCTTGACCGAACGAGGAGGCATCGCCCTACACGCCGTATACGAGACTGGAGAAGAACTGTTCCTCGGAACATGCGACAGCAGAGGCGTTGGCGGTGTGGGCGTCCTCGTCAACACGCACTTGGCCATGAACATCGATTCGTACGAAAGTCTGACGACCCGAATCGGACGTTTGCGATTGAGAGCGATGTGGGCTTCAACTTCCAGGCTTTGAAACCTTCGTCGCTACGCAGCCAACATCTAAGCTCTACGACCCGAGGATGAGCTCGAAGCTTCTATATGGAATTGGAGAAGTTCTACAAGGAAGATCACACCTTCTTCAAGGTCATCGTCGGTGATTTCAACGCTAAGATCGGACCAAGAAGAACGGCTGAAGAACTTCACATCGGAACTCACGGAACGGAGTGGAATGAGCAGGGTGAAAGGCTGTCTGAGTTTATCATGTCGACCCACACCATCCATGGTAACTCGCAGTTCCAGAAGCCCTACTCTCTACGCTGGACATGGGAGTCTCCTGGTGGACAATTCCATAACGAGATCGACCACATCATCTGCAATCGAAGGTTTTGCCTGACCGATGATGCCTGTTGCTCTAAGTTTTACACGGGATCCGACCATCGCCTACCTTTCGCCGCAATATCGTCGATGCGAGGAAGAGAGAGCCGCCGCAAAGTTCAAAGAAGCGAAAGCCCCAAGCGTCCATCAACTGGGATCACTTCACTTCTCTCGCTGGGCTCTGGGAGGATTCTGTCATTGACAACATCGACGAGGAATACGAAAGGCTTGTTGCACATCTTCACGACTGCGCCAAGAAGTCAGAGGGTTCCAAGATTACCAAGAAGCGTCTATCTCTGGAAACTCTCGAGCTGATTCGCCAACGTGGAGCCGCACGAGCCGCAGGCAATTACCAGCTGACGTCTGAGCTTGCGAAGCTATGCAGAGAAGCGATAAAGGAAGACCTCAAGGAGAGAAGAGCAGCAGTACTGGTGGAAGCCGCAGAGGCTGGGAAGAGCGTACGCAACGCCCGCCGCGACGCCAAAGCTGTAAGACATAAGATGCACGCCTCTCAACGTGCCGCAGTTGGAACATCACCGCATTTTAGAAAGGGCAATGGAGAAGGTATCCAGATTCGTTGACTCGGATTTCTTCTTCGACAGCCACGTCCACCTGCGACCATACCGCTTGGAGCAGGATGGATATGTCGTTCCTGCAGTTCTCCCTTTCCGAAGTCCGACACGCCATCTCGTCGGTGAAGATCGTACGGCACCTGGTCCCGACAGGATCAGACCCGAACATCTGAAGAATCTTCCGCCAGTTCTCGTCAAAACTCTGGCTCGACTCTTCACGCGCTACCTGTCGGAATGCAAGCGTTGCCTCCCACTCGATGGAAACCAGCAAGACTGTGTTGCTGTACAAGAAGGGAGACCTGTACGACATTGGCAATTATCGCCCAATCTGCCTGCTGTCTGTAGTCTACAAACTTTTCACACGAGTCATCCTGAACAGGATTGGCAGAACACTAGACGAAGGACAGCCATGCGAGCAAGCAGGGTTTCGAAGAGGATTCTTTCCTTTTCCCAGCCCGCATTGATCACCATTTCCACACCCGTAAACGAAGCTCAGATGAAGTATCGACGAGAGTTACAGATGCTCGTGGTGTGTCTCCCCACGTTATTCGACTTTTGAAGAAGCCTTCGACTCGTTGAGACAGAAGCGGTTATCGAAGCCCTGGGCAACCAGGGTATTCCTACTCAGTACATCAGGATTCTTCGTGAGCTCTACAGCAACTTCACGACCAAGATCTCACCATTCTACAAGGAGATCATCATTGATGTGAAGAGGGGTCCGACAGGGCGACACCATCTCGCCCAAGCTCTTCAGCGCCTCTCTCTCGAGAACGTCATGCGTCAACTGGAATGGGAAGACATGGGAGTGAAGATCGACGGTCGGCAACTACACCATCTCCGCTTTGCTGACGACATCGTTTTGATAACACCAAACATCGAGCAAGCGGAAACGAATGCTGGCTGAATTCGACTGCGCGTGTGGAAGAATCGGTCTACGGCGAACTAAGAACACACGATGTTCATGAGAACGCGATTGGATATCAGCATGCCCCATTACGCTCAACCGCGACACGACCATCTCTGAATGCTCTAGCTATGTGTACCTAGGTCGTGAAATCAATATGATGAATGACCTAGCTCCAGAGCTGAGCAGGAGGAAGCGAGCGGCTTGGGGAGCCTTCAAGAACATCGAGGGAGTAGCGAAGAAGACGAAGAACACCAAGCTCCGTGCCCACCTCTTCGATTCCGCGGTCCTTCCTGCCTTGACGTACGCCTCAGAGACTTGGACTCTACGAAAGCAGGATGAGCATGCGGTCGGTGTTATTCAACGCGCCATCGAAAGGGCGATGCTCGGCACTCGCCAAACGCATCGAGATCAGAGACGCCGCCGCATTTGCCAAGGCTTCAAAGATCAGGTGGGCCGGACACGTCATGCGTTTCGAGGACGACCGCTGGACCAGAGCAATCACCGACTGGATTCCACGGGATGTCAAGCGAACGCCTGGAAGACCGCCTACGCGATGGTCAGATTTCTTCGTGAAAGCTCTGAACGAATGGTATGAAGTTCATCGTGTCCCTCGAGCTGAGAGAGTTCATTGGGCAACTCTTGCACGTTGCAGGGACGAATGGAGACGTTACTGGCGCCCGCTCGAGGAACTCGATGATCAACGGGAGCACAGGTGATACAGGTGAATCTTGGATCAAAGGTACAACGTAGTCAACTGGTTCTTTCTGCTACTAGGGCGTGATATAGGCTATACAGCGTAGACTGTCAACTGTTCACCCTTATGTAGGCTGTCGCCTACCAACAAATATCGCCTGTGACATACACTGTTTACCACATACAACTAATGAAGGTTTGCTTGAGCTTATAGGAACTAGGAACTAAAGTTTGGTGCAGTTTGGCTTGGTGGGGCACAAAATGATACTTAGCGAAGCTAAATCAGGCCACCTGTCGAGACCTGTAAACCCTTGTAACCAGAGTGGTTCATTTACACCATTTCGCAGCTTCAGAGTTTCACCAAAGTGTAACCTGTTAATTAACATGAGCTAGCAAAAGGAACAAGCGGAAGAGCCCTCCCAAGCCGAAAAGCGCCCAGAATTTTGCTTGTCACTGCAGAAATCTTTTGCAGGATCCAGACACACCCCCGATTGGGGTGTTCTTTTTAATATCTAAACCGTCTAATGGAATGGTGGTGAACGTCAACGATTTGTCGAAGGAAATCTATAACTTTTCACAGAAAGACATCGACGATTCGTCGATTGTTTTCATGCGGCAAGCCAGTACGTTCACATAAGGATTTTCCAAAGTTCTTCTTTGACTTGTGAATTTGAAGATCAATTCTAAAACTGTTAGCTCTTGCATTTTGAGCAAGCTCAGATTGGAATCACGCCTACCTCACTGGTGCGACCCCTTTCCCCCTCCGCTCCCTTCTAAAGCAGAGAAAAAAGGCAAAGAAGAGAGGGACGAGGTGCGTCGTAGGGATCC